GGGGCCGACAGAAGACTCACCAGTGCCGTTGGTCTTCACGGCCATCTTAAGGAGCACCCTCTCCTTGAGCAGGTGGATCTCGTAGTCGGTGTCGGGCTGCAGGTCCCACTGTGTGTAGGAGCTCTGGTTGTAGCTGACGTACTGCGGGGGCAGATGGGGGCTCATCTTCTCGTCTGCAGGGGTGAGGGCGGCAGGAATGAGCAGGAACGCCAGGCAGCAGCCCGGGTTGTGCCAGCCCCGGGGGGCCCCTCTTTGTGCTCACCCCCCAGGGCTTTGAACCAGATCTGGAACCCAAAGTTGCACTGGCCCTCCTTGGGGACCCAGGAGACCACGCTGTAATTCTCGCCGGCCATGGCCGAGATGTTGCCAAAATCCGGGGTCCCTGGGGAGCAAGAGGAGGTTGTGGGTCCTCGAGGCAGCCCGAGGCTGGCCCTCCTGGGGCCTGGCTGTGGGTCGGGGGCCTCCTCAGCCCCTGCCGCTCACCGGATAAGGCCATGGTGCCTCCCTCCCGCACGATGGCCTCCCCGGGGCCCTCCTTGGTGGTGGCCTGCAGCCGGAAGCGGTACCGCAGGTGCGGACTGAGGTTAGTCAGGTTGTGTGTCCGCAGCTCGGGGTCCGGAAGGTCAAAGGACAGCTGCTCCTTGTCCCCGTCGTCCACTGTGGGGAGAGACGGGGAGTTGGCCCCAGCTGCCAGCTCTGCCTCGCCCCGCCCCCCCAAGCTCCCCCCCACTCCTCGGCCGCGCCCCACGCACGAGGGCGGTAGGAGAGCACGTAGCCGGTGAGCACGCCGTTGTGGCTGAGCGGCGGCTGCCAGTGCAGCAGCAGGCTGGTGTCTGACTGGCACTCCAGATGCAGGGCCTCGGGGTGGCCTGGCACTGTGGGGCACAGAGAAGAGCGGCAGGTCCTCACCTGGGGCTGCCAGGTGGGGGATGGGGTGGGGGCGGGGCCCAGGCTCACCTCCCTCGGGAGTCTTGAAGGCCATCTCGCTGGCGGGCCCCAGTCCCCGGCCATTGAAGGCCTGCACCTCTAGACGGTAGGAGCTGTAGGGCCGCAGGCCTCCCAGGACGGTGCTGGTGGTGTTGGCGGGCACCACCACGTGGTCTCTGTGGACATGCCTCTTGCTGTGCTTCCTCTGACTGCCCTCCCACCAGTACGTCACCTTCAGAGAGGGGCAGGAGACCCCGTAGTGTAGAAGGCAGCAGGCAGCGCACCTCCTCAAGCCTGCGTCCCACTGCCCTCAATGGGGACCCTTTCCTCCCACCCCAAGGACTCCTGGGAGAGCAGTCCAGGTGGCAGAGGCCCACCCCAGTGCTGCTACTCCTGGTGGCCTCACGCATCACCCTGGGGATCCCGCCACCTCCACACCTTGAACCCTTCCTTACATTGTATCCTCGGAGGTGGCCCTTGACCTGGGCGGGGTCCACCGGCCACCACCTGACCAGCACGGCGCTAGAGTTGAGGATCTTGACGCCTTCCAGCTCAGGGCTTGCCTGGGGGTCTGCAAGCAGCCGGCGACAGGGATGAGGGCCTGTGGCATCCGGAGGCCAGCCCAGAACCCTCCCACAGAAGGAAGATGGATCTGGCTGCTCTATGGGGTGCGCCTGGTGTCGGGCTCTCCTGGCAGACCGTCTATTAGTTGCAAGGGAGAAAGGATCTTGACCAGGTGACCCAAATCAGTGTCTAGTAATATTCCAGATGCAAGGAAAGGAAAGGCGCAGGACAACTAGACCTGACGGGGGGTCTGGATTGGATCCTGGACTGGGCGGAAGACAGCGCGGACGGGTACACCCGGGATATCAGCCGCCGACTAGAAAAACAGTGTCTCAATGATCAACGATAAACTTCTGTACTTCGTGGGGGCACTCTGGTTAGGGAAGAAAGTGTCCTTGCTCCTAGGAAATGCTCTATTGAGAGCCCCAGCATGGAGGGAGGGCTGGGGACCTGGCCAGCGTTTGCCTAATACTCACAGTCTTCCCCCGAGTAGCCAATGGTAATCTGCGGCTCAGGGCCCTTGCCCTGGCTGTTGACGGCCTGAACTTTGATCTCATAAGGCACAAAGGTGGACGTGTTGGACACAACCAGCAAGGGGTCGCTCACGATCTGTTCCTGCCAGGCACCCCGTGTCCCTTGAGGGCGCCACTGGACACGGTACTGAACCTGGGGGGCATTCCAGTCCATCCATCTAAGGGGCTGGAGAGGGGTGAGCAGAAGCGGAGCTGGTCAGCCAACAGCACCTCCCTCCTCAGCTGACCCGCTCCGGAGCCCAGCCTCATGATCCTTTGCACAGTCGGGGGAGCAGCTGACATCCGCATCCCGCATCCCGGACTGATGTCCTGGGGCATGCTCAGCCCAGGGGCCCCTCACCTTCCAAGTGATGACCATGTTGCTGGTCTCGTTCCCTTCCCCCTTCACATCCACAGGGTTCTTCTCTGGGGCTAGAAAATAACATGATAACACATCAGAGCTGTGGGCTCCCACCGAGGCTGTGAAGGCCAAGGCCAAGGAAGGAGGGGGCCCTTTCTGGCGCTTGGAAACCAGGAGCCAGAAGCTCTGAGTGAGCCCTGGCTCCAGCAGAGGGGCTCGGGTAGGCCATCTCTTCCCCTTGGACCCCAGGTGGCTCACCTGCCTCAGGTGTGACCACGGTCTCAGAGGCCGGGCTGGGCTCTCCAGGCCCGTACTTGTTGATGGCAGTAACTCGGAAAGAGTAGCGCACGTAGGGCGAGAGCTTGAGGGTGGTGGAGGTCTGGTTCCCGGGCACCTTGCCCAGACTGTACCATTCCTGAGGCGCCATCTCCTTGTCTTCAAATTCAATGTCATACTCTGCCAGGAAGTGAACCAGTGAATGGGAGAGGGGCAGACAGGGGTACAAGCCCGACTCTCCCTGAACGGGAAAGGGAGTGCCCAAGGCAACAGGCAACCTCAGAGGCCGGGGAGGAACCGCAAGCCCCACGGAGGGGGGCCTGTCATGGAGCCATGGTCCCAGGAGGAGGAGTCCCACCAGGAGGGAAGGTGACCAGGGGCGGCCGGGTTGGGGCTGGGGGGCACGCTCAGGCCTCTTACTCTCAATGGGGGCGTTATGGTCTTCAGCCGGTCTCCAAGACAGGCGCACCTGGCTCTGCTCCAGCAGGTGGCGGTCGGACAGCTCCAGCTGGGGCACCGGCCCGGGGCTCCCTGCGGGTCACAGAGAGTGGATTCTCTGGCCCGAATGCCAGCCGGCCACCCCACCCCAGCTGGAGGGGGGGCGCCCAGGCCGACAGCCCAAACCACCCTGGTACTTACCCACCACCAGGAGCTGGGCCCGGCTCTCCACCACGTCCAGCTCGGTGCCAGCCACACAGCTGTAGTTGCCCTGGTCACTGTAGTCCAGGCTGTGGATGACCAGGCGCCCCTCCTCTATGAAGTACCTGCCGGGGGCAGGGGGCGCATGCTTGTCCCTTTGTTCTGTCCCTTCCCCTCCCTCGTTTGCCAGAACCTCCCTGCTCAAGGCAGGAGCGCTCCCCCGCGGATGAGGCCAGGAGGTCTGGACGTCCTGCTTTCCCCACTCTGCCCCCTTCCACCAGGCCGAGGTTGGGGCCGGGTCCGCACTTGTCACTGTCCCCAGACTCCTGAAGGTTTCGACCGTCCCCTCGCCAAGTGATGCTGTGCTGCAAGGAGGGGTCAAAGGAGGCCTGGCACGTGAAAGTCACTTTTGAGCCTTTCTTCTCGATTGCACTCTGCGGCCCCTGTGTGATCTGAGTGGCATCTGAGAGCAAGGAAGGAAAGGGAGGTCACACCGGTGTTCTCCAGAGACCCTAACCCTCCCTCCTGGAGGTGTTGCTGATCACATCAGACCTTTGACCTGCAGGTTAGCCACAATGGTCACATTGTTCTGGTCATTGGTGGCCTGGCAGAAGTAGTGGCCAGTGTCATTGGCCTGGAGGTCCCGGATGCCCAGGGTCCCATTGGTGTAGGGGAAGAAACGTTCATCCCGCAGCACGGTCTTCCCTTCCTTGTCCAGCCTGGAGTGAGCAGGGCAGGCCTGGCTCAGAGCCCAGCCGGCTGGGGGCCCTGCCCTCCCTGGGCCAGAAGGTGGCTTGGAGGCACCCCACTGGGGAGGGGTCACTCACCACTGGACACTGGGCACAGGGGCTCCAAAGGCCTTGCACAGAAGATAGGCGGTGCTGCCCTCGACTGCCATGTAGGTCTCGTTGTCTGGGGTCAGGATCTTGGCAGGAAGCTCTGGGGGAGAAGTAGTTACAGGGGACAGGCAGGGCTCAGGGTAGGGCGAGGGTGCATAAGTCATCAGCGTAGGCGAGGGCTCAGCAGGCCAGCCTCTCCCGGATGGGCTCAGGGGCCATTCTCAGGTTCCCAAGAGCCTGCCCGTCTTGCTTCCCTGTACCCAGGCTGAGCCTCTGCCTTCCAGTAGGCCTCAGCTATGCCTCCCATCCCAAGCACCCAAGTTTGACCAATTACCTGAGGCCCCGCCAACAGCCCACCTCTTCCTGAAAGCCTTCCTGGCCCATCCCTGCCTTTCCAGAGGCTCCGAGAGAGGAAGCACCAGGCTGGCCTCAGAGACACAGGGCCTCCGCTCAGTGACACGTGGTGGGCTGGTGCACTGTTTGAAGCCACCCTGTCAGCTGTAAATGGTGGCCAGCCCCTGCCCTTCCCCCACACCGCCGCCCCCAACCCCGCCCCACGCTGCTGACGAAGGTGGGAGCAAGATGGGGTGAAGGACCCCGGGGAGGAGAGAGGCAGCCACGGCAGACAAAGCAGCTGTTGGCCGAGTCAGTCCGGTGGCCTCGCCGGGTGGGCTGAGGGGTCAGACAGACAGGTTACTCACGAACGACATAGATGTAGGCATTGGCCAGCAGGAGCCCGTGCCGGTTGCGGGCCTCGCACTGCGTCACCATCGTGTCGCTGGGCTGCACGTGGCTCAGGATCAAGGCCCCACGCTGGATCCGGTACTTCTGGTCCTTAGCCAGCTCTGCGTGAGCAGCAGTTGCGTCCGGGGGTCAGGGGCAGAGCCGTGAGGCACGCCGAGGCCCCCCTCACCCTCCCCTCCCACCCCAGGGCTCCCCCAGGCTCCCCGCCCCTCCCCAAGGCCCCACTCACCCTCCACAGGAATGCCGTTGATTCTCCAGGTGACCTCCGGCTGGGGCCTCCCCTGCACCTGGCAGTCTAGGCGGGCAGTCTCTCCGGGCCCGTACAGATGACTCTGCGGCTTGTGCAGCCAGTAGGGGGCAGCTACGGGCGTGGGGGGAGCGGCCCTGAGCACGCAGCGCCGCTCCGCCCCGCCCCTGGCCACCCCCTACCCCCCCACCACCTTGGGCACTGCAGGCTCCTGTCCCTGGAGGTCACCCCAGGAGCCGGTGCGGCCCAGGGAGGCAACTTACCCTCCACGGTGACGTAGTAGGTGTGCCGGTCGCTGCCCAGCGAGTTCTCTGCCAGGCACCGGTACTCGCCGTCGTCCTCCTCCGCCACGTTTAGCAGCTGCAGCGTCTTGTTGTGGTTCTGGTAGGCAACTCGGTCAGCCGGCATGGGGCCACTGGGGCGCAGCCACTTGATGGTGGGCGTAGGGCTGCCCGGGGCCAAGCGGGGCGGGGGTTGGGGGCAGAGCACATCGGAGAGAGCACAAGGCTGCTCAGCCTGGGCCAGAGACAGAGACCCCCCCATCTGCCCGCCCCCACCCAGGGCCCCCAGACTCACAAGCCCTCGGCGATGCACTCCAGGACCAGCGGCTGCCCCTGCAGGGCCACCAGGTGGCTGCTGGAGTTGGTGGGGAAGAGCAGGCGAGGCTTCCTGTCGATCATGCTGTTGGCTGGGAGGAGAAAGGAAGCACCCATGAAGTTACCAGGGTAGATGACTCCCCTGCGAGGTCCTGGGTGGGGCCTGTTTCCTCCTCTGTTCTAAAGGAAGGACCCCGTCTCTGTTCTGGCCTCCCAGGACGGGGTCTGGCCAGGGTGCAAGTGGGGGTCGAGCAGTCCTGGCGGAAGACTGAAGCCGTCTGATCTTTGGGCTGGGTCGTGCCTGGGTGGGGGGTGGGCAGGCGTCCGAGTCTTTGGGACTCACTGGCCTTGACCCGGAGGTCAATGGGTTCCTTCTGGATGATGGTCCGGGTGCCAGGGAAGTGGGCGTGGCAGATGTAGTCCGAGTGGTTGTCCGAGGTGAGGACGTTGGCAAAGTAGAGATTGCCGTTCTGACCCATCGTCACCCGCTCATCCTGCTTGATGTGCAAGATCTCTGCAGGGGCGGGCGGGGGGCAAGGAAGCAAAGGTCAGACCCCTACCCAGGGAGAGGTACCCGCTGCCACCTTCTCCCCAGCCAGCAGCCCCTCGTGGGCACCCACTGCTGTTCATCCAGTAGATTCGGAGTGGCTCAGCGCTGGGCGGAGGGTGGCAAGGCAAGACCACCGACTCCCCCTCCTCCACCTCTACAGGCTTCACCGTCTCTTTTGGCCACTTGGGGGCACCTAGAGGGGACAGACAGGCTGGCGCTATGGGCCCCAACTCCTGGTCAAGGCAGGGCAGGGCAGGGGAAAGGAGGACAGACGCCCCGTGGGAGGGCCTTTCTGGGCTCAAGGCTGAGACCTTCCGCGTGCAAAGGAGAGGCTGGGCAGAAGAGCAGAGGACTGTGAAGGGTTAACCCTTCACAATTCTCAGCTCCCACCCAGAGGCCTAAGATGGGGGGGCCTGTGGTGCAGTGATGGGGGAGGGGAGCTGTGGAAGGATGTGGGAGTCACAGACCCTTCCATCATCCTGACACAGAAACCATGGCAACAGTCACCAAGGTAACCAGAGGGGTGGAGAGGCAGAAAGCTCAGGGAGGATGGGATGTAGAGGGAAAACCCCAGGGAGAGGAAGGCACAGATAAAGACAGAGCTGGAGAGCGAGCGCCAGAGGAGGGAGACAGAGTGCCAGGTCGGAGGTGGAGAGGGAGGCAGCAGGGAGGAGGGAAAGCAGAGGAAAGGGGCCACAGAATGCTGGGGAGGTGGCAAGACATGACCCAAGAGCTGCGGAGAAGGAGAAGGGACTGCAGAGATGCAGAGGGGACAGAAGGCCAAGCCCAGGGAGGAACAAGGCAGCTCAACAAGCCTGAGCCTGTGGGCGGGAGTCGTGAGGAGGGCCCCGGAGGCCAAGGCGGGACAAAGCCCAGAGGCAGAAGGGAGGGAAGGGGAGCTAGAGGTGACCAGAAAGATAGCGCAGAGAGGGACAAAGCACGGAAGGAGGGGGACAGTGCTGGAGAGCAGAGGAAGGTGGCTGCGGCTGGCAGGGCCCCCAGACTCTTCCACACACTAAACTGCCAGTGGGAGGGGCATGGCTCCCAGCCCGGACTCCCATGCCAGCTCCCTGAGACCTGTTTGGGGACCCTCTTGTGTGCCCCAGGCCCTCCCAGGCCCCTGCAGTGTCTCGCACCCTCAGCCATGAGCTGGATCTCATGGGACATGGCTGTGCCCAGCTTATTGCTGGCAAAGCAGCGGTAGGTGCCCTGGAACCTCTGGGCAAAGTTGCTGTTGTTGCCCGTGATGGTGAAGGAGCCAGAGTGTGGTGCCTGGTGCACGGTCACGCCCACTTCCTCATTGGGTTTGAAGTGGACGCCATCCCGAGTCCAGCGGAACCTGTGGGCAGAAAAGGGCTCAGAGGCCTGAGGCCCAGGAACCCAGGAAAGGGGCTGGAACAGGCCAGAGGCCAGGCTGTGAGCAGCCAGGGACCCTGGGGATGGGCCAGGCAGGGCAAGGACCAAGGGTGACGAGAGAGATCTGGGGTGTCTGGGCGCAGAATTTGGGTGGCCCTGGGAGGCACGAGGACCACAAGCTGGCTGAGGGCTTAGAAGGTGAAGGTCACTCACTGCACTTCAGGTTTGCCACTGGCCTCACACTTGAGGCTGATGTCATCTGTAGGGAAGACAACCAGGCGCCGTGGAGACTGTTCCGTGATGACAGGTGGTTCCATCACTGGGGACAGGAGAGAAAGAGATGTGGCAAGGGTAGTGCCTGGCTTCACAGCCTCAACGCCTGTCCCGCTGGGAGGGCGGCAGGGTTCGAAACCCTTAGAGTCCCAAGGCCACGGGAGAGGGGTGGGGAAGAACGAGCTGGAGAGCCATGGGCTTGCGGGCCATGAAAAGAGGGAGAGAAGGGGACCACGGTGCAAACGTAGAAAGAGACAGAACGGAGAGAATAGCAGCACAAAGAACGAAGACAGGGAGACACGAAGCCAGAGACAGAAACCAGAAAGTCCCACAGAGAGAGGGGAGCAGAGAGGACAGAGCACCGGAGGGTGAGCAAGAAAGCCCAGGCCTGGGGCAGAGACAGAACAAAGACGAGCCAGAGAAGTCGGCGCTGTAGGCAGGATGTGCGGGCGGGGGACCTGCAGGCACCACTCTTTGCCCGCCTCCTGGGAAACACTCCCACCCTCCCCCAACTTACCCCGGTATCCTTCATCTAAGGAATCCAGGCAGCGAGGGAGAGAGCGGAGAGAAATGCTGACACTGAGCCCCAGCAGGGCGCCCGGTGGCAGGGGCAGAAGTAAGCCCACCCCGCCCCCGTCAACCCACCCCCTCGCCCTGAGGAAGGGGAGGGAGTGAACCAGGGCCACGGGTGGGGTAACATAAGGGTTACGTGCCAGGCTGGAATTGTAGCAGGTCAAGACCCCCAGGACAGGGCAGGGTCCCCATCACTGGTCCCAGGGGCGGGGTCATGGCCACAGGGTCCAGGCCGCGGCTCTCAGGAGAAATCTGTGCCTTTTACAAGTAGTGCCCTTTGGACAGACCCTTGCATCCTTCTCCTGGCAGGGCCTCCAGGACTGATCCCCGTTCCACCCAGGGTGCCTCAGAAGCTGGGGAGGCAGGAAGCCCAGCGTCCCGGGTGCCCTCCGCAGCTCCAGCCCACTTCCCTCCTAATCCAATTAGCACGGCTCAGGCGTTTTCAATTACCCAGGCCCAGCCTCCGGAGCCCAGCCGCCCCTCCCCCCCCGCCGTGAAACCTTCCCAAAGGCCAGGCTGCCGCCGAGTTTCCGTCGCCTGCGGGGCTGATGCCAGCCCTCTCTCTCCCCTGCCTTCCTCCCCACCAGCCCCCAAGTTCCCTCTGGTGGGGGAGCCGGAGCTACGGCCTCCCAGCTGCAGGACTCCGTGCCACATCGGCCTAGGTGGCTGTGAGGAGGGGAGAGGAGGCAGGGAGGCTTCTGGAAGCTTTGTCTCCACAGAAGACCTCCGTTAAGGGTCCCCAGAGAGAGAGGAGGAGGCTTCCTGGGGACACTGCCCAGGGAGCCCTGAGCTGGGGAGGGGCCAGCGCAGGCAGCCCAAGAGCAAGAGATGGTGACTGGGATGGAGAACAAGATGGGGAAAATGGACTGGATGGAGGAAGCGGGAGAAGAGACAAAGGGGCCTGGAGCTGCAAGGGGGGGCAGGCTGTAGCTGAAGGCCCCAAAGGGGAGGCGCCCCGCCACCCACCATATTGTACTGGGGTCAATAACCAGCGCTGGCCAGTGCTCAGGGCAGCGCACATGTGTCTCCTCACTCCTTCCTTTCTCCACATTCTCCCTGCCCCTCTGCACACAGACACGCCTGGCCAGATGGCCCAGGCAGTGTGGTGGCAGGCGGGCCAGGCTGGTGCCCAGGGTAAGGCCTGAAAAGCAACCAAAAGGAGATGGAGGGGAAGGAGGACAGGTACATGTAGGTAAGTGTGCAAAAGTGTGAATCCAGGCAGACCTGTGAATGCTCCTGGGTGTTCTAACCCGGCAGTGTGTTTGTACATGGGTGTATCCTGCCAGAGCACATCTGAAGGCTGTGGCTGTGCGTGCTTGCGTTCCATATCATACACCTGCCTCCGTCTGTGTGGGTGACTCTCTTTGTGTCTAAACCCCTCGTTTGTGTGTGTGTGTGTGTGTGTGTGTGTCTGTGTGTGTATGCGTGCGTGCCTCCCATGTGTCCTTCCAGGGTCTCTGCCCCTTCTGTATATCTGGGCCCGGTTGGATACAGGTGGTTTGTCTGTGTCTACCCACGTGTGCATCTAAGGGGACATCCCCATCCTTTGTCCCCTCTCCACCTCCTCCAAACCCTCGGCTGCCTTCCGCCAATGCCGGCTACCTTCCAAGCCCACCTCCCTCAGGCCCTGTCCCATTCCTGGCAGAGACAGTCTTCCCCACTGCCAGCCCCCAGCTCATCTTTCAGTGACACTGGCCTCCTCCAGCTCCAGGCTCGGAGACAAAGGTAGCAAGGTGAGGGCGAAAGGACTGGAACTACTGAGGCTCAAGATAAACAGCACAGTAACGCACGCCCACACGCGGACCCAGCTCACACACACACGCGACCCCCCACGATCAGAGGCTAACAAACACCTGCAGACCTTCACAAACCTGACCAGTAACAGTTACAGCGACGCACCAACCTACACATATAGGAAATCAAAATCACACTCAAGAATATCCACATGTTGTCAGTCACAACCACACATTTCCATACACGCAAATATAGTCTGTGCAACTCACAAACACACGCAGATACTCATGGTTTGTCACAAACCTCCAGCCACACTTCCCAACACCCACACACCTATCCAGGACACTCAGCAAATGGAAGGTTCCCTCAGTCCCACCCCTCCGCCCCACCCATTCATAAGGATCCAGAAAGCTGCTGGGCCTTTGTATGCTGTCTTGTCCTGTCTCAGTTCACAGACTGGGCCACTAAAGGCCCGAGATGGGATTATTCGAGTTAGAAGGAAGGCAAAACCAGAATCCAGGCTTTTGCACAAGCTAGCCGGTAACCCGGGCCGGGCCCCCTTCTCTTGCCCGCCACAACCCGGGCGGCGGGTGGGGGAGGGCAGGCCAAGGGCGAGCACAGAGGGGGTTGGGGCAGCGCCAAGCCCGCTGTCCGTGGTCCTGAAACCGCTCGTCCAGCCCGCGCCTGTCCCCTATCCATGGTGCTGACACACCCAGCGCCTTCCACCCAGTCCTCTCCAGAGGTCCTGGGGGCCTCCTGCCCATCTGTGCCCAGGAAAGTAGGAGTGAGGGTCCAGAGCCAGCAGAAGGTGAGGAAGCAGAAGATAAAGAGGAGCCCAGCGCGGCGGCGAATGGAGGCGTCAAGGCTCCCTCCGGCTACTCACATTCGTCGGGAATCTGGATGAGCAGGCAGGGGCTGCACAGAAGCAGAGGCCACAAGTACCGCAGCGACACGGCCATCTTCCCGGCGGCGCCGGCAGCTCGGCACGGCACAGCCAGCCGGGCTTGGCTCAGGCTCCGGCCGGAGGGAAGGGGGCTGCTGGGCGGCTTGGGGCGGGATCCGGGCGTGGGGGCACTGGGAGAGGGAAGGAGGGAAAGGAAGGGTGGGGGAGGAGAAAGGAGAGAACGGACGACTTTAGTGACTAACATCTGGGCGAGCCCCGGCTCCTGGCCCCGCCCCCCGCCCCGCCCCCGGCTGGCCGGCTCCCCCATCCCTCCCTCCCCCACACCTTAGAGGGAGAAACCTAGAAGAGTCTTAGCACTGGCTAGGCCTCCAGGTTGCCTTTCATTCCCTTTCTCCTCTGTCTGTGCCTTCCGCACCAGCTGCCTCTCCAGCGTCAACTTGTTGCCACAATCAGCTCCCCTGGGCATGCCACAGGCCACTCAATGCATGAGTGTGGATGAGGATGGGCACGTAGCCAAATATGCACATTAGTATTTATGTGGCTGCGTGTGTGCAGGCAGGAGCACGTTGGTATACGTCCTCTCTGGGAGGGGAGTGCACTCACGAATGGGTATGTGTCAATGCATGGGTATAGATAGCCGTGTGCACACAGGAACACGTGTGTCTTCTCGTGTGTACCTGTGGGGGATGAATCCTCACATGTGCTCTCTCTGTGTTGCACACAAGCAGGGGTGCGCATGTATGCAGAGAACTCTTGTCAGTCTCACTGCCATGGGTTTCAGAGCCAACTGATCTCTGAGTGCTGTTCAGGTCTAAAAAGTTGGTGAGGGGGGCAGCGGAATCTTGGGAAGTGGGGACAGGGAAGGGAAGAAAGGGGCCCAGGAAGATGACATTTCACAGAACAGTTTGAGGAAATGGAAGAAGGGGGAAGGAAGCCTGACCTCAAGAAGTGGCAGGAGAAAGGAAAGTAGAAAAGCACCTCTCCTCTGTTCCTCTGTCCCCTGCGGGGCAATAGAAGTGAGTGTGGCCTCTCCCCTTCCAGATGCTGCAAGCCAGGGCAGGGATCAGGGGGAGCTCTGGGACAGTGTTTCTGTCACCTCTCAAGTGTCTGGCAAGCCCAGGTCTTTTTCTGAGTCTTCCGGGCTCAACTGCTAGATATGTCCACTCAAGCACCAAGTGACAGCAGCCACACCCACATCCCACCTGCATGCAAGAAGCCCTGAAGATGGGAGGTCCAGGCAATGGGGGTTTCTCTGCCAATGACTAGAAGAGGAAACACACTCCCAAGAAGACAGCAAACTTTGACTCCCAACAGGAAGGGGTGTGAGAAAGAGGCAAGGGGAGAAAGTGCAGGAGGGGTAAAAGTAGGCTGCTGTTGACCAAGAGCTTGAGTCTGGAGCTGGGGTCTTGGTGCCCTCCCCAAGACCATACTGGACATCATCATTGTGCCCAGCAAAGACCTCAACGAAGGGAGACAAAGCCTCATCCAGAAGCTGAAGGGGTGGGTAGGGAGGCCTAGAATGCCCTGATGAGGCATCTAGACTCTGTCAGGAAGCAACTAGCAGCCATACATTGGGTTTTGGTAAGGTGACCCCCAAGAAGAGTGGTGAATGCAACAGACCGCCTGGGGACTAGGAAGGGCAAATGGATGGTGGTGGAGAGTGGTCAGCTGACTGGGGACGGGGGAGATGGAGGAGCACCAGGACAGGTCAACATGGATGGGCTGAAGGCCAAGAGAATGCCTTGGAGGGCTGAAAGTGGTGACCGCATGGCCAGTTCCCAACTTGCAAGAACTAAGCTGGGGCCCAGAAGGGAAGAGCAACAGCAGACCTTCCCCCACAAAGCCAGTACTAGCAGGGTGGCCCCCAGGCAGGCTTGGCCTCCACTTCAAGGCCTGTAGGAAACAGTAGGAGACTCAGATCAGAGGGCAGGCGATCAAACAACCACCTTGGGAGCTCTGAACGCTCTAGTCTTCAGAGGCGGGGGGAGGGAAACCAGCGAGGGCAAGCTCAAAGAAGGGCCTTCTTGCACGGAGGAGACCTGAGTGCTCCCTTTGCTGGAATGATGACCACTATCATGGCAGCTCCTGTGTGTCCTCAAAATCCAGGCTCCCAGAACGGGGTCGGCAGATACACCCCAGGTGCACAGGTACGGCCAATACAAGCCCCTGCTCCCCACTCTCTGCCCCGTCCCAGTGCCCCACGGTCTCCTGGTATTTGCCACCCAGCTTGCCACCTTCCTGGGCACTCAGACAGGCAGGAGCCAGAAGGTTGAGGCCCCCTGACAGCAGGGAGGAGGCTCTGCCTCCTCCACTCCCACTGCTGCCAGGTCTCTGATCTCTCATCATTCCTCAGGCAATTACAGAGCAGGCGGCTCAGGTTGTCAGCTCAGCAGGCCCCCCAACACCCATCAGCACCTCCAGGGGCAGGGAGGCAAAGAGAGTGTTCCACAAGCTGGTGTACAGATGGAGCCAAGGCCATGTCTGCGAGGGGTGCGACGGGCTGGGGAAGACTGAAGGGTGACAGACAGGGTGAGAAAGAGGCAGGAGGGAGCAGGAGAGGCTGAGAAGTGGGGCTGGGGGAGGGAGGACAGGGAATGGGAGACAAAGGATGCTGGACCACCACTGCAGTAACCAAGATGGAGAAATCCAGAAACGAGACTGGCACTGGGGAAAGGGAGAAAAGGAGTACAAAGGGTGAGAGATGGCTGCAGAAAGCTCTGATGGAAAGTGGTCCAAAGAGCAAGAAGAGTGCGTAGTGTGTGTGTGCACTTGGCCTAGTGGTGCCTCCTTGGGCGTTCCTGTCCCTTGGGGGGTGTGCCAGGCAAGGACTGAGATGGAGGAGGGAGATGGGCCTGAGGAGGGGGGCTTCCTGGGCTGGGAGGCCAGGCTGGACTGACAGGCAGGGCAGAGAAGCTGTTGAGCCAGGACCACAGGGACAAAGCCCACGGTAACAGGCAGAGCAGCAGGTCCCCGGCCACTTGTGGCACTGGGGCTAGGAGACAGTTGTAAGACAGGATGAATGAGCCCCTGCCGGCTGCTCCCCCAGGAGGTGGGGACCCCCCAAAACGGGGAGGGAGAAGCACTCAGAGGATCCCAGTGGGGTCCTTCCAAGATTTCTGCTAGTGGAGAGTGAGCAGCCACCTGGCTAAGGGAAGGGGCCCGCGTGTCCACAGCCACACCAGTGGGTGTCTGTGTGCATGCCTGCACTTCGTGCTGGGGAAATGCACAAAGGCAGGCTGCTCCTGAGTGGGTCTGGCTGGGAACCCATCCCCCGCCCCCGCCCCCCCCCCCCAGGCAAGAAGAAAGGGCGTGGCAGGCACAGAGGAAGCTGGTCTGGTCCACTGGAGCCGGCAGACAGACAGGCTCAGGACTCCAGAGGAGCTCTGCCCCTCGCCGCTCCCTAGCTAGATTGTGCTCCCTTAGTCCCTGGGTCCCCTGAGGAGTCCTCTCCTCCGGCCTTCCGTCCTCTGACTGGCAGGAGGACTTGGAAGGTCACGGAATGATGCTGAGACCTGGGGTTTCTGCTCTCCTCCCTACACACACACACACACACACACACACACACACACACACACACGCGTCATGAACCTTCGAGGGTGCCCAGGTCCTGTGTAGAGTCCTCCCTGCTCCTCCCATCTGATAAAAATGCACCTGCTCAAGGGACAAGCAGCAAGAGGGCCTTCCAGCTCAAGGTCTGCTAAGAATGGCAGCGTCCCATGATCTCGCAGGCCGGAGCAGGGGCAGGGCTGGGGGCTCAATGTCTCAGGTGTGTGAGATGGTCTGAACGTGGGTAGTGGGTCCGAGTACTCCTAGGGCTGGGGCCCACGCCTGGGCTCTCTCCCCAGCAGGGCTGGTGGGGTCTTCAAGCCTGTCCGCATGTACATGAGGGCGTGGGTGTCACCTGGTCCCCGTGCACTGTGTTCCTTTAAGGCTCCTCCTCACCCTCCCCCCCCGCAGGCTGTGGCTGGCGGGTTTCCATGGAGATGGAGCCCAACTCCCTCCACCGGCAGCGGAGAGGAAAGCCTGCTGCAGCCAAATGGGTTATTTTGATAATACATAAAGGAGGCTGCTGGGTGGGAGCCCCCACAGGTATCTGGGGGCTGGGAGCCTGAAAGGATTGCCACCTTGTCCTCTGTGGCCCCCCCCACCTCGCCCCTCCCTGAGGCGCTCCCCAGAGTGAGCCCTCAGCCGGAGGCTGCAGTCGCCAAGGCAACAGACCTCACCTGTAAAGGACCATTCTCCTTAAAGGGTGAGAAAGGGGTGGGACAGACGTTAACCCTTCGTGGGAGAGCAGGGAGAAAAGACAGTCTCCACTGGGGATGGGAGAGGAGGAGCTCACCATTTGAGGCCCAACAGTTTTCCCCACCCCCTCACATGTGTGTCTCACTCAAATGCCCCATTTTATTAAATAAATTCATGGATACTACTCACCGCACCCCAGGGACTTCTAAGCAGTTTTACATGCATTACTCAATTAATCCTTAAAATCCCCCCCACCGGAGGAGGTGCTATCACGATCCCAACTTCACAGATGAGGAAACTGAGGCTCGCAGAGCCAGCATGGACCAACGCTCACCAGGACAGAGATTCCCAAAGCCACTAAACACTACTGGGGGGAGAGCCGGGCGGGGGCGGGGGCGGTCAGCTCGCCTCTCAGGCACCCGGCGTCCCAGCATGTGTACCTGCTTGCGTTCCCAGAGGGCCAGGGCCCTGGACAGGGATGGCCTCCAAGCCGTCCTGCCCCGTAGGGAAGGGCTTATTTGCTAGGCAGATGGCAGGCAAATGTGGGGGGCAGGGAGGGGAATCTTTGGAGGAGGATGTGACCCATATCACGCCTCAGCACAGAGCAGAAACCATTCCCTTCCTGGGCCTTCGGCTTTGCATGACCCCTGCCATCCAAGGATGCCGTCCGAGAGAAGGCAAATTCCTTTCCCTACCGGGCTTGGGTACAGCTGTGTGGGAGTGGAAACTGAGGCCCATTGGAGCAGGGGCCAAGACTCTAGCTTCCCAGACCCCTAGAGTGCCAGTGCCATAGCCAAATTTCCCATGCACAGTTGGGGAAACTGATGCCCACGGCCGAAAATCTGCCCCCCTTTCCCCCCTCTAAGGCTTCCATCAGTTCTGGAAAGCAGAGGACAAGACCACAAACACCCCTAAGAAATAAACCTGGCACTAGAAGGGGCTTGGGAGCCAGGCTGGAGGGCACAATGTACATCCCATTGCAATGGGCTGTCAGGGCCCGCCTCTAGAACCCCAGGGAAGAGAAGGCAGCCGAGCGAGCAGGCAGTGCAGGGACGGTGCCTGGCAAAGAGGAGAGGCAAGAAGCCTCAGCTTGCTGCCAGATCTGCCAGTCCTGGGCCACCTGACCCAAGGAGGGGCATGGGGGATGGGCAGGGGTTGCCTAAAAAGGGCTCAGAGATGGCCAGGCCCCTCCAGCCCCCTCAGGGCTCCCCACCCCCAAAGGGCTACAGAGCAGAGGGGCACAGGAAGCCTGGGGTGGACAATGGGGCCTCTGTTGTCCCCAGGGCCTCAGCATTCCTAAGGCATGAACACAGGAGGCCAGGGGAGGGGTCAGAGGGCACCCCACACACACAACGGGAAGCCCCATGCTGCAAGGCACCCCAGCCCCCGCGACCACCACCATCAGCCCCGCCCCTTCCCAGCACAGGCCCATGGGGCATTCGAGGGGACCCATTCGGGCACAGAAAGATAGGCCCACGCTCTCTCACGAACACAGACAAATGCAACCAGATGTATGATCCCCACTCGTGCAAAGAGGAATGCCGTGCAAACGTCAGGAGGCCTGGCTTCTCTCTCCAAATGCTCTAGACCTGAAGGCTGAGGGAGGGGCTCCTGGGAACTCATCTCCTGCCTTTGAGCTCCTCAGGCCGACATCGAGATGGACAGGCTCAGAAGGCCCCCCTTGGCTGCATGCACAAAGCCCAGGACGCTGTCACCTCCTCCTCCGCCCAACCCAAGGCTGACAAAGCCATCCCTGATGGGTTCAGGGCCAGAGGACAGTGGCTGGGTGCTCCCTCCACAGCTTCAGGACCTGAGGAGAACATGGAGGGCCCAGGCAAGCTCCTTGGGCCCTGGGTGGGGGGCACTGGACAAAGAAAAGCTTCCGAAAAGGCCAGCAGTCCAGACCCTTCCCCTGCAGAGGGACTGTGGCCTCCTCTCTGACCGTGGGCTTTAGGATGCCACCAAGACCCTGTTGATATCGGAGAAGGCAGACTGGCCTTGCTAACTGCCTGTCCCCCAGTTCTCTGGCTGGTGGCCAGCAGGCGCCTCCTGGACACCGTCCAGGTCGGATGAAGCTACTACAGGCAGTCTGGGCCCGACCCCAAGGCAAGGAGCCCACTGGAGGAGCGCTGAGGCTCAGAGCTAGGGCCAAGCTCAGAGACATCAGGAATGGGGCAGGGGAGGAGCAGGGAGAGCAGCTAGACAAAAGGGGAAGCAAAGAGAGCAAGCCCAGGGCACCAAGGGGGAAGGGTGGGACAGGCAGAGGCAGGGGGAGGGGAGGAGCACAGCAGTGCACTCCCCACAGCAAAACTCAACTGAGTTGGGGGGAGAAAGGCGACGCTTTCTAGAAGGGGGGCATGGGGAACTGGGTGGCTGGCAAGGGGAGAGCAAGGGGGCGGGCCAGGGGAAGCAGAAGAACGGGGGGAGTCAGGATGGGCCGGGTCAGAGCAGGCAGGAGGGCGAAAGACTGGAAGGCAGGGCCTGCTGAAGGCCTGTCCCAGCAGGTCCGCACCCAGGGACCCAAACACAGCCGTCCAGACCCAGAATGATCTTGTGGGAGGAGCAGGCAGGGCAAAGACAGGGCCTGATCAGACCCCCTGCGTCCCCCATTGTGTGAATCACAGGCTGGGGCGGGGCCCCTAGAACTGCACTCTGTGCGCAGTCTCCCCACCTCCCACCTGCCTAGGGGAGCCTGGCAGAGCAGGGCAGTTGGCTGAGATGTCCATCTTGGTCGACCTCTGCACCGGACCCCCATCTCTACTCCATTCTCCCCTAGCACACGCCCTCCCCAAGCCCAGGACAACCCTATAGACCCATCCCCCTCACCCCAGAACTGTTCAGTCTTTTACCCAAGAGGTGGGTCCAGGAAAATCTCCCTTCGCCTTTGCCCCGGTTCTCGGGGAGCTGGTCTGGCGCTGCGATTCCTGACTGGGCCCCTCTGCAAGGCCACATGGCCCTCGCCGCCCACAACGGCGCCCCGAGCCCTTCTTTTCAGTGGCACCCATTTACACGGGCACTGGAGACGGTCTTGAAAGGGACCTTGGAGGTAAACGAGTCTGCACCCTCATGTCATAGCCAAGAGGGCAAAGGCTTGGAGCAGGGAAGGAACTCGGACGCCCAAGTCACTGGGCTGGGGAAGGGCCGATGTGGCACGTGGGGCCGCCTCCTCCATCCTCCCCCGCAGGCTTTGCCCAAGTGTGTGCCATGGAAGGCACCGGCCCCAGCAGTAGAAAGAGGCTAATTGGAGAACAGCCCACTGGAGAAGACCTCGGATGGGGCCCTTTCTCGTTCCTTGCTTCCCTTTTCCCTTCAGAGTCACAAAGGAGAAAAGAAAACCAATTCATTCCCTCCGAGGACAAAGGCAGCGTTGGTTTGGTTCCTTATTGGCTCTTCCATCAGCAGCAGGGAGCCTGGCCCAAGTGGGCACTTGGCAGTGGGCAGCCACCCAGCAAATGACGGCCCACACCATGGGCCGCTGGGCTCCTGGGCAGGGAGGAGCTCATCACGGTGCAGAAAGGGGCCCCTGCCGCCTCGGGGCACTGTGCACCCAGTGGGTGCTCTGCAGGGGGGCTGGGGCCCGGGCACTGGGGGAGGAGCCTCTGGGGAGACTGAGGCTGGGGTGTGCTGAGCGGTGATCAGATCACCGGCAACCCTTAATTTCTTTTGTTCTTTTCTGGATATTTCAAGTGTACCATGGTAAGCCTCGTTACTTCTGGGACTGCACACACACAGACACAAAATAAGTGTGAAGGAAAAGACAATGATCAGAATGCAGCACAGAGAAACGACTAGAAGCCAGAGGACATTCCCGGTCTCAGCCCTGACACCAGCTTGCCTTGTGGCCACAGAGAGCCAGGAGCCCCTGCAGCCCCAGGAGCCTGGGGGCACACGAGTGGGTGCTGCCTGGGTGCGGTGCCAGGCGGGAGGCTGGGTCGGACTGAGTCCCACCACCTGCGGCAAGGAGCTGCTCAGGAGTAAGAGGGAGTAGAGGCCCCAGACAGGGCCCTGCCCCAGCTCCCCCATAAGAGACAAGAAAGATGAGGCTTAGCGGCCCTTGGTGGGAAGAAAGGCTGACTGGCTTATTCACTGCCAGGGCCCACGTGAGTCAGCAGAGATGACACGGGTCTGCCCAGAAGCCCCTACCCTCTGGGTGGAGTTAACTGGAAGCAGGGCACCTCCTTAGAGGGGGGCATCAGGCCTCCAGCGCCTTGGGGCTGGCAGATGGCCCCGGGACTGACTCCCTAAGACAGGCAATGATGCGCGGGGCTCCAGACCCCCACAGGGGGCAGCACGTTGTACTTGCTCTTTCGGCGGGGGGGGGGGGGGGGGGGCAACCAAGAGATTCCAAAGTCTGCCCTAGGGAAGGGGGAAGAGGAATTGCAGGCCCCTCCCGTCACAGAGACCCCGCATCGGGCAAAAGACCTGCGGTGGGCAGGGCCAGCGCCCTGAGCATCTCGCTTTCCAGAATCCCTGGCCCTGAGCCGCTGCGACCCTCCCTCCCTCACCTCTACCCCACAGACCCACATTCTATGTCCTGTGCACTGCCGCACACCGTAGGCGCCCGGGCTGACTGCACACAGTGCACCTTTCTCGGCCGCAAGAGCCTTCAGAAACTGAGGCTCCAGACACACCCCGCGCCTCTGCAGGAGCCCCTGGTCCTGGTGCAGGCTTGCAGGGGAGCCCCGGGGAGTCCAGACTGGGGTTCGGAAAAAAGAGGGAGGAGAACAAAGCCCCCCTTCGCTCCCCCCCAGCCTTGGGGCGGAGGGCCTGGCAGCGCCCGGCCCTGCCCTGCCCCCACCCCTCCCCCCACGGCAGGGGCAGCCTAGGCCAACCCCTACCACGCAGCGGCGGGCTTTTCAGCCAAACGGAGCCCTCGAGTGGGGAAGAGGGGCAGCCACGCCCAGGGCCACACCCCACGGCGGCCGAGGCGGGGGTCACTCGGTCCCCAACGCTCCCCCTTTCTCTCACACGCGCACACCCGTAAGGATGTGCCAACTTCAGCCCCTACCTGCCCGCACAGGCCCTGCCTGACTCCCCGCGTAGTGTCCCTCTCCCGACCAGCATCTTGGGCGTCGCCCAGGTACCCCTCACCTGTCGGGCTCCGGCTCTCGGTCTCCTTCCCCGCCCCCCGCCCGGCTCCCGTCCGCCGGGCCCGGAGCCCGGGGCCTGGCCTGGGTGGGGCTCCAGCCACCCCGCCCGCAACTGCGGGCTTGGCCGTGCGGCGCCCCTAGCTCTCGTTCCCCCACCCCGGGCAAGGCTGAGCCAGGGGGCCGGGGGCGTCGCAGCCGCAGCCGGGGCGCGAGGGCAGGCCTGCCCGGCTTACCTGCGCTGCGGCTGCCGCTCGGGCTGCCCGCCCAGCCTCCGCGCACGCCGGCCTCGGACCCGCTGCCCGAGCGCGTCTGCGATGCCGAGGCTGCGGCGGCAGCGGCGGCGGGGCGGGGCGGGCGTGCGCGCAGGGGAGGGGGAGGGGAGCGCAGGGGAGGCGGGGGAGGAGGGAGTGAGATCACCTCCCCCGCCCGCCCCGCCCCGCCGCGCCCTCTCCCCTCTTCTCCGCGGACCCCGGCTCCGGAGCTCGGCGCCGGCCAGGAGCCCCTTGTGGCCCCCCGCGGGAGCTTAGTACGACCCCCGCCGCCAGATCTCGCCAGACCTGCGCCTGCAGCCCCGTAGTCCCTGGCCCCTGAGCGCCCCGCACCGCGGCGCCCTCGCTGCAGCGTTGGCTCCGGGAGGGAATCGCAGGGCGAGGGTGCCCCCGGGGCGCGGGGCTGGGATGTGGAGAGAGGAGTGGGGTGGGGAAACATCCCCCAGCCCTCACCCGGTCCTCGAGGGCGCTGGCGAGGGAAGAGCGGTCGGCCGCGACCTGGTGTTTGGACGCTCCCCAGCCAGGGGCAGAATTCCCCAGTCCCTGGGGTCTTCCCTGAATCCCTCCCATCCTAGGCACCCGGTCTGGTAGGGCGCAGGCCTCGATTTCAGCCCACCAAAGACGCTCCAGGGGTGCAAGGAGGTCACGGAGAGGGAGCCCCTGGAGCCGCCGCTCTCAATTCCTAGATCTTCCTCCAACTCCCTGCCAGCGTTCCCAGGCCCGCATTTTATTTCTTTGTCATGAGGATCGGCCCCTTCTCGACCTTTCCCAGAGGCCCTACTCTCTCAGGCAGCCCTAGCCCTGAAAGCCTGGGAGGGAGCTCCTCCCCAGCGCCCGGGCTAGGGCCCCCGCCAGTGACCTCCGATGGGAGGCGGAGGGCGCAGCGATTCCGGAGTAAGCCGAGCTGGCCGCAGGGCAGGGAAGGCCTAGGGCCCAGATGGCAGATTGCAGCCCTGGTGGCCTACGGTATTTTTATGAGCGTGCCTGTTGCCCAATGAAGCATTCTGGGGCCTTCAACTCAGCCTCCCCAGACCCTCCAAGCCATGCAGGAGGCCCACGTGGGAGGGCTCCTGACATCCCTGCCTGGGGTTCCCACGCCACTGACTAAAGTGCCAGCTTCCAGCACCCCTGGACGGGGAGGCTTGGGGTCCTGCCCTCAGTGACGGTCTGGATGTGGTGTTTCTGGGCTCTTTGGAAGGAGACTCCGTGAGGAGAAGAGGCTTTTGAGTGAACGGAGAGGGCTGGAGAGCCGGAAGAGCCAAGGGTCCCCCCTGCCGCCCTCCAGGGCTACCAGTGCCCCCCCACCCCACACCCCGTTTGGTTCTAGTAGATCCGGAGTGGGAGTACAGCACTCTTGTGTCACTGGTCCAGCCTCTTCGGGAGCAGGACAGAGGCCGAGCCAGGCACAAGGCCAGTGGGCCCAGAGCTCCCTATGGGGGGCGTCCTGGGCGGTCAAGGTGCTCCCTGCTTCCTGCCTGCTCTGATTCCACCTCTGATAGGCCTGGTCTCTCTCCTCTCCAGCCGCAACTGCACAAACCCTTTCCTCCTTTTTGGGAATATAGGGTTTGATGCCGACACTGCCACAGCAATGACAGGAGTGAAGGAAGAGGACGGAGCCCAGAAAGCGTGCTCTCCCCAGCGCATACTGATGGGTTCGGCGCCAGTGACCATGACAGCATTCATTCCCATCGTGACGCCGAATCTCGGGCCTGCCCTGGTTCTGAGCGCAGGGTCTTGTATAAGCAACCTGGGGAGGTCGGTCATTATTAGCCCGTATTACAGGGGAGGAGGTGAAAGTTGCAAGAGCTCAAGGGATGTGTCCAGGGAGCGTAACCAGAAGGGGTTACGTGGGCACCATTGTTGCCTCCACTTCACAGATGAGGAAACTGAGGTTCGGGCAGGTCAAGAGACTTACCCAAGGTCATCCAGGAGGCAAATGGCAGAGCAGGGATTTGCGCTGGCTTCTATTTGACGGAAAAGCCCGTTCTCCCACTTCTGTGGGCTGAGATGGAGGGGCCAACGGCAGTGAGGGCAGGAAGAAGAGAGGATCCTGAACAGGAAGTGAGCCGCGTGCTCACTGGGGACACTGGGAGGCCCTGGGTCTCTCCCACTCACCTCTCCGTCAGTGGCCAGAGCTCCTCACAGCCATCTCGGGCATAGTAAACTGGCCCCGGGCAGGCACCCAGAGTCTGTTCAGACCCCACCCCACCCCCCACAAGGCAAAGGCCATGTCAGGAGTCACCGGCTTCAGCTGAGCGTGAGCATACAGGTTTCCGCATCAGCGCACTCCCGTTTCTGTGCCGACCAAGGAGTGAGATTGCTGGGTTACTGGGCGCCTTTTTCTGCCTGGTTTTTACCTGTGGGGTTTCTACTGGTTTTTACCTGTGGGGTTGAGTTGACCGTGTCGGTGGTGTTTGCGATGTGTTCAGATTCATTCTCGCCAGCTTATTCAGTGCTTTCTCTCTGACCTGCTTTCCAGACTGCTCTTTCTGCCCCTACCAGCTATCAGCGAAAGTTCAAGGCAGGACGCAGAGGGGGTGCTGTAAGCCTGAGAAAGGGGGTCACAGACACAGCCCCCGCAGAGGCCCCGAGGGGAGTGTTCGGTGTGAGGGGGGGGCGCAGCTCCAAACCAATCTCCCTAAGGACCAGCTACCTCTGCCACCATTAGCCTGGTGGCGGGACGGGCGGCCCCCAGGGTAAGTGCGGGTTACGGTTATCAAGAAGATACCGCCGCTGGCCTGAGTCCGGGATCAGTGAGCTGGGACCAAGAAGTCAGGGCTGTGGGAAGAGGAGGCCCAGCGCGGGAGCATGGATGCTGGAGCCCTGTGTTTCCTTGTCCTTTAAACCCAGGGGAAGAAGGGCTCGGCAAAGTGAAAGGATGGGCTCCCCTTCCTTCAGCCTTCCACATTTCAGGTGAGTGCGCCTAACTGGCAAAATCCAACTTGTCTCCCAGAGCCTGGCTGGCCCTGCGCAGCCTGGGAAATAACGTGCTTGGGCAGGAAGCTCAAAGGCACATTAAAAGGAGGTCCCAGGGATGGCTGGGGTGGCTGTCGGCGAAGCGTCTGCCTTGGGCTCAGGGCATGATCTCGGGGTCCTGGGATGGAGCCCCTCATCGGGGTCCCTGCCTGGCAGGGAGCCTGCTGCTCCCTCTCCTTCCGCCTGCCCGTCCGCCTGCTTGTGCTCTCTAACAAATGGATAAATAAATTTAAAAAAAAATTAAAAAAGGAGGTCCCAGCCATTTCCTGTGATACTGGTCATCATTTAGATAGATTGAACTTGTGTTCTTTTTCATTTCCTTTTCTGTTTTGAAGTGCTGTATGAATTTTTTAGTGGTTACCCTACCTGTTTTCATGTGCATTCTTTTTTTTTTTAAAGATTTTTTATTTATTTATTTGATAGAGAGAGAGATCGCAAGTAGGCAGAGAGGCAGGCAGAGAGAGAGGAGGAAGCAGGCTCCCTGCTGAGCAGAGAGCCCGATGCGGGGCTCGATCCCAGGACCCCGGGACCATGACCCGAGCTGAAGGCAGAGGCTTTAACCCACTGAGCCCCCCAGGCGCCCCTTCATGTGCATTCTTAATAAAGCCCAAAGTCCGTCAATACCTCTGCTCTGGTGGTTCTAACCGGTGGCAGCAAAGTCTTTGACGTTCCCTGCGTCGAGAGGTGCTGCCGCCTTTCCTCCTCCTGAATGTGGGCTGTACTTGATGACTCGTTTCTCTTTTTTTTAATATTTATTTATTTATTTGTTTATTGGGGGGGTGGGGCCAGAGAGAGAGAGAGAGAGAGATCTCAAGCAGACTCCCCGATGAGCGCAGAGCCTGACACGGGGCTCCATCTCGCGACCCTGAGACCATGACCTGAACCGAAATCAAGTCGGACGCTTGACCGACTGGGCCACCCAGGTGCCCCTGAGCACTCATTTCTAATGAACAGAATGAAACAAGTGGTGGCGGGCCACTGCGGGGGGTCATAAAGTGTCCTGCTCCTTCCTCCTTGTTCTCTTTCCTGGATTGTTCTGTGTGGGACACGTCAGTGGCTGTGCTGCGAGGGGCACTCAACGACCCCATGGCCAGGGTCCTTTAAAGCTCTTCTCCCTGGGCCTGGCCACCCTCTGTTCCTCCTGGAGCAGTCACTCTGCCTCACTCCCCAGTGGCTCACCGCCTTCCCCTCACCCACACAGCATTCCCACCTCTCAGTTTCCTGACCTTCTTATCTCCAAAGACCTTACCTCACCTCAGCTTCCCCCTCTGACGGTTATGCCTTATAGACCTCATCATCCGCAGAATCACTCTGCCATATTAAGCTCCAAATGCCAGCTCTGTTGGCGTGACTTCCGATCCGTCCCTTCCTGTTCTCCAACTTCCTCCCTTCTCCCAGCCCTGCATTCAGGTTTCTCGAGAGCTTTCCAGTCCGTCGACCCCCGTCCCCGACCTAGCAGATCCCACAGGACCTCTTTGTCTTCCACGGGCCCCCTGTGCCTTCGACAGGCTCTAGTTTCTCCATTCATGGGGGGAAATGAGGAATGTCATTTGCATTAGTCAGGGATCTACAGTGAGACAGAAGCGGCAGGATGTACGTGTGTGTGACGACCCAAGATCTAGAGAGCAAGCTGGGGAAAGTTCTAGTCCGACCCCAGGAGAAGGTCGGTGTTGCAGCTGGAACAGTCATACCCGCGAGTTCCCTCTCACTCAGCCTCTCTCTCCTCTTCGGGTCCTCAGTGGGCCGCATGAGGCCCACCCGCTCTGGGGGCCCAGGATGCGGCAGGCTCTGTGGTATGCAGCATGGCCGTCTGCCGTGGGCTGAGTGTTGCCGACTCCCCCCAGTCCTGTGTTGAAGCCCTAACCCTCATATTTGGAGACGGGGCCTTTAAGGAAGTAATTAAGGTTAAATGAGGTCATAAGGGTGGAGCCTTGATCCAATAAGGTTAGTGTCCTTGGAAGAAGAGACAGCAGAGACTTCTGTCTCCGTCTCTCTTGTCACTAAAGGAGGACACAGCAAGGGGACAACAACCTACAAGCCCAGAAAAGGACTTTCACCAGGAAACCAACCTGATCAGAACTCGATCTGGGA